CGAAAGTGGATGCGGGGAGACCAGGGAGGGGCAGCTGCAGTTATCCAGGCAATGGGGGTATTTGGTTTAGGGGTTGCTGGTAGTGATGGAGTGTGCAGAACCGAGATACTTAGGAGGCAAAATGGACAGACTTGGGAAGGACACCGTTGCCGTCAAGGACGATGCATGGGTGTCTGACTCTGACTTGTGTGGCGGGATGAATGATGGTGCCCTTTGCCCAATGAAGGACATAGGAAGGGGCCCTTGGTTGGCTCTCTGGGGAGCCGGTAGGAGGGGAGAGAGAATTTCATTTTGAGTGTGTTGAGTTTTACCTGGGAATGGGGCTTGTGGGGGAAAGCTATAACCTCTCGGGCTCACGTCCACCTCTCAGCTCTCATTGTGGGTCCTCTCATCTGGGGAATCTCAGACACTCCAGACAAGCCAAGTTGTGTTGCTGTGGCCAATCCGATGGATGCAATAGGCTTTGAGGGCTACCTTGTTCAGCCCTGTCCTAGGCACTCATTGTGCATTGTGATACAAAACCACTCATGAATAGTTCCAGAGTCATTCTAAATGCAGGATGATGGGGCACAGAGTGTAAGTGTAATTGGCTTTCAGAGAAGGGAGAGATTAACAAGGCCTAGGGACTCTGGTGTTCTTTAAGCAGCCAGGAGCCCAATCCTGTTGCAAGTGCTTCTTTTGGCAGTTGGTCTTTATTAACTGTAATCAGTTTGTAAGTCCAGGAACATGTGACAGAGTAGCAAAACATTTTAAGGGTAGTTATATCCGATCTTGGTAACTTTGGAGGTCAGATGCACTGAAAATAAATATAATTGTAAGGTTACCTTGAGTCCTTCATTATGTGCGTGTTCACGAGCCTGTGTGTTTGTGCACATGTGTGTTAAGTTTTACCAAAGGAAAAAAAGGAAATGGCTTGACTTGTGCTATTACTGGTAAAGCTTGTGTAAATCAAGGTATATTCTAACTTAAAAAATTAGGATAGGGGGCTTCCCAGGTGGCGCAGTGGTTGGGAGTCTGCCTGACGATGCAGGGGACGCGGGTTCGTGCTCCGGTCCGGGAGGATCCCGCATGCCGCGGGGCGGCTGGGCCCGTGGGCCATGGCCGCTGAGCCTGCGCGTCCGGAGCCTGTGCTCCGCAACGGGAGAGGCCACAACAGTGAGAGGCCTGCATACAGAAAAAAAAATTAGGATAGGGCTTCCCTGGTGGCGCAGCGGTTGAGAGTCCGCCTGCCGATGCAGGGGACGCGGGTTCGTGCCCCGGTCCGGGAAGATCCCACATGCCGCGGAGCGGCTGGGCCCGTGGGCCATGGCCGCTGAGCCTGCGTGTCCGGAGCCTGTGCTCCGCAACGGGAGAGGCCACAACAGTGAGAGGCCCGCGTACCGCAAAAAAAAAAAAAAAATTAGGATAAACAAGCTGTTTTGGTGAAAGAAAGGTTTACACTTGGCTTACTCTCTTAAACTCTGCAGAATTAGTGTCTGCTGTGGCAGAGCATGGCATCTCCAGGAAGAGAAGGGCACTTTTCTCTGGTCCCCCAGCGAGCAGGCAGCTTTAGGAGCAGCCCGTCAGGGCCCAGACTTCCAGCTGCTTCCATATCCCTACCCGCCTGGCCTCCTCACTCAGTGGCAGAGCCTTCTTAACTGTGTAAAGCAGATCCTTGTCCTCCGCAGAGGCTGCCAGTCACGCCTTCTCTCCACTCTGGCCCGCATTCTGCCTTTCTAGCAACAGATGTTTCTGCAAAGTAAATATTATTGCCTCTGCTTGGCTGCTCGCTGTGTCTTGCAGTGCCTGAACGTGAAGCAGTGGGGTTATATGAGCAGGGGGCCACAGAGCTTGGCATACACCCAGCGCCAGCCTCCCCGCCTTCTCCTCTCCTCTTACTGGAATGTGCATGTGAGATTCCTGTGAGCATCGGAGTGAAAGGCTCCAGAAAGAAGTCTCTGTGCAGCTGCATATCCAACATGATCACCTACGTAAGATGCCAGCACTCTTACTGGGTGGCAGTAGCCAAGAGGCAGTGGCTTTTGGGTGTTCTCTGTTTGATGTCCTCTCTGTTGTCCCAAGTAATGGAGAGGAGTTGATCTGAACGGGGTGAGGCAGCATGGTGTGCCCACAAGGACCTCAGTTCAGAGGACTCGGTCGAGTTGCAGATCCACTTCTTAGAGGTTGTGTGCTCTTATGTCAGTCCTTTAACTTCTCTGAGCTCTCAGTACCGGTAATCATGCTTCCCTTCCCTGGGTCCTGTTACTGGAGGACTAATGCATTAAGGAAGAGTAGCCCAGCCTTGCCTAGAACTGAAGCTGACAGTGTACAGAGTGCTTCCCCCGTGTGTCTCGCTGGCTCTCCTGACAGCCCCGCAGCTTCGATGGGTCTCCTCACTCAGAGGGTGACAACTTCTGTGAGGTGAGTTGACAGAGACTTTATGACTAACCCAGGATTAGCTACATAGCTGGTAAATGGTGGAGCTGCAACTCGAACCCAGGGGCCAGTGGAGGTTGGGGTGAGGGCAAGGGGCTGGGGAAGGGGTTGACCAGTGTAGAACCAGGACCCCCTGTAACGCAAGTGGAGAAGGGAGGTTCTCCAAAGCAAGCTGGAGATGATATTCCTAAGTTCGGGGAGTAGATGCTGAATAAGGCAACAGCAGGTGTCCCCTGTACCTTTGCCCAGAGAGTGCTGTGTCTGGCATGTGTCGTTCAAGCCCATGGTGAGTTCCTTTTCAGATTCCAGTAACTGGGCTTCTCACTCTACCCAGCTGTCCTCCTGGGCCCACAGCCCAGTACTGACTCCATACCAGGACTCGTTACCTAATCTCCCATCCAGGGCACCAGCCTCTTTATTGGCTTCGTGGGGCCCACAGCACTTCTCGGGGTGTGCTGTGTGCCACCGCACAGGGAATCAGGTTACCTTCTGGTTGTAAGCTAACAGGCCTGCTCCTGGTTCAGTGGGCCTGCTGTGGAAGGCCCCACAGAGGCCCCGTCGTGCGTTATTAGCCACTCCTTGATCCTTCCTGGCAGCTGCCCCTGGCAGCGTGGCTTTTCAGGTGTGTGCTGGGAGCTTTCCCAAGCCTGGCTGACTTTTCTCTCTTTTTCCACTTTGTTGAGAAGATGGTCCAGCTTGAGTCCTGCTTGCCCTATTGGGGAGGCACAGGGGGGTTGCTGAATGGATAGAGAAGCAGTCCTGTTCTTATTCTTTGCTCAGGCCTTTCTCTGTGAGTTCTGATCAGGGGAACATTCTGGCAAAGCCAGGACGACTGAGTACCATGCACCCCACACGTGGGGCCTCTTGGAGGGCTTTGTCTTTGTCTGGGAGAGATTATTCTCGCTCGTTTTCTTCCTGCCTGCCTGTGGCCGCCCCTGTCCTTCCTCCCCACAGTGTTCTGACTTTCAGATGCATCTGTTTCTTTCTTGACTTGCCGGGGACTGATGTGTGTTCTCGGGGATCTCAGCCTGGGTTGGCCAGTCGTAAGAGATGCCTGATTTCCCCGTCGGCATCTCTGGACTTCTGGCCAAGAGCCATTCCATTAAATTGACCGAACCAGGGAGAGGCCAGAGGCTGCTGGCCGTTGGCCCCTGTGTTCTCCCCCACTCCGAGCGCCTTCCTCTTCTGGCGTCGAGCGAGCAGAGGGCCTTGCACAAGCCATGGCTAGCTCGGGACCCGCGTCATCCGAGCTCAGGTTGGGAGGGTGGTCCCAGAGCAGGAGCCCCTGGTATCCATACGGTGGTCGGAGCCTCAGACCCGAGAACAGCAGGACGGCCCTGCTTGGCTCTTCCCCTGGCACCGTCGCTTGGGATGAACACTGGGATCAGAGAACTCAACACTGGCAGCTGGATTTGTGTACAGTCCCCCAGCCCCCTCCTCCATACACGCGCGTTATTCATCATGCACTGAGCAGGGTGCAGTGCCAGGTACCTGGAGAGAAAACAAACAGACCAGCAGATGGAAAAAGCGTGACCCCTAACCTCGGGGGACAAATCTAAGAGCTAAAGAGAAGGGCTGAGGATCACGGATGCTTATATTCCAAGAGGCTCTGTTGATCTGTGAAGCCAGAATCCCCACCCTCCACTCCCCCCAGTACCTTATTAAAGCCAGACCTCGTTGCCAGTTATGCCTCATATTTCCCTCCTCTGGGAATTTGAACATAATGCCATTTCCCCTTCAATGAGGGGAACATGTCCGAGGGTAATTTGAATGATTAGCCTAATCTGCAGGAAGGCTGCACGTGGAATTAAGTTAAGCATGTTTGTGCCTAGCAGCCTTGTCTGTCAGGCCACTTAAAGGTGCCTCCGTGGTTTATACCCTTAACAGAAGCTGAGGGTTCAGGAAGGATCATTGGCTTTTATTACTGTCTTAAATGAAAGCTTATTTTTTAAATTTGACAAGGGCCTCCAAGAGGTTTCTTTATAGATACCATGTGTGGGGTGTGTTTTTACCCCAACTCAGAACACTGCCAGGGCTTTGTTCTCCGGGCAGCTGTGGAACGAGGTGACCCAGGAAACTGGTTCAGGTGGAGATTCGTCAGGTTGGCGGCTACTCTGCTTTGAGTGGAGCCCAGAGGGTTCTGAGAACTCGGGCCTCCCGCATCCTTGAGTCGGAAGGGGTGGTCCGGTTGCTCCTGTGAAGTTGCAAGCCCTTTGTGCCAGCTCTCTTGTGCGTTGCACTGGGTTGGGGGTATTGTTGAGTCTCATGTGAGGGCAGCTTCACTGACCCCGACTGGTGTCAGCTGGAGGTGGCAGGACTCGATGCGTAGCCTGAGGAATTAGAGAGTGAGGACCAGACTTGTTAAAGCAAATGTAGCAAAAATATTAACTTCTGAATTATTTCATGTTATAAACAAGTATTCACACTTTTGAATTTACATTCTTTTGTGCTCTGAGATGGACTCAGGAACAGATCTGCTAGCTGCTGTATGAGTAAAAGGACTAAAAAATGCAGGAAACATGAAAGCAGGTTTATTTCAGTAATTCGTATTTTTTACTCTTTTTATTATTATTTTTTTTTGCTAGATTTGTCTTCAGCGAAGCGGAAATTTGCAGATTCCTTAAATGAATTTAAGTTTCAGTGCATAGGAGATGCAGAAACAGATGATGAAATGTGCATAGGTAAGTCATAACCACATGCAAGAGTTTAAAAAGTCCACTGTGGACCACAGCTTTCAGTGTCCTCCCTGAGTCTTTCCCCTGGAATAGGGAGTATGTAAGTGTTGTAAATTAAGAAATCAGTATTCAGAGTGGAGCGGGCAGAGTTGAGTGAAGGTCAGGGCCCGGGGCTCTCCAGGGCTTCTCCTCAGAGCCCCGGGATTGCAGTGGCTCTCACCCTGCGGCCTGCAGGAGAAAACGGGAAGGTTCGCTGTGGGGCTCCTATCTCCGCCCTCTGTTAGCGTTCTGCTTCTGGCTGGCTCTGCAACGTTCTTCCCCCAACCACAGTACTTTAGGATTAGAGCAAAAGCAGAACACGGGTGGATGGGAGAAGAGGTAGATCAGAGGTCGCAGGTGATTGGCTCATGGGCTGAGGTCCTAAAGCAGCCATGTTTTCTTGGGCGCTCATTTTTAAAAATCGAATTACCATGGAAGCTGAATTTATGTAAAGTTCCAGTTTTCTAGCTTCTTTGAAAATCGGGGAGCCTGAGCAGCCGGCCCCTCATTCTGCCCTGGCAACAGTTGGCTAGAGCTCTGTAGCTGTCGCTGCCTCCGGATGGGGAGAGGAGCTCCGTGTCTGGGTCACGGCCCCACCTCTCCCATGCATTTTCCTTAACAAGAGGCTGAGAGCGGAGGTTACCACTTGTTAGCTTGCTGCGCCGTGTCGCTCTTCACCATCCGCTGTCCATCTTCTGTGGGCAACACTGAGCACAGAGGATTTGCGATGTCAAGACACCTGTCTTTGTCAGGGCCTAGTCATTGCACCTTATTCTTCCATTGGGCATCTTGGTTGGCTCCATTAAGTGAGGAAGAGTTGAGCAAGTTACATTGAATTAAGTCACCAAATGCTTATGGATTCCCTGTTAGCGTGCAGAAAATCAGGATCTGGGGATGAGCAGAGGGAATTGGGAGACAGGTGAGAGCAGTGAAAACGTATCATTGTTGTAACTCCTGAATACACAGATGTTTTCCCCAGCATTACATGAATGTCTCGAATATCCTTAGGGCTATTGTATTCAATGCTTATTGCCTTTGGAATAATCCCGGCGAAAGAGACTGTCCACATCTGACTGCTGTGCTGCCAGCTGTGTTGCAGTAATCAGGGGCTTGAGGACTCAGAGAGAAGGAACCCAAGGAAAAGCCAGAGATGTGGCTTCCAGTGCCAGCAGTGTTGTTTGTTTAGCTCTGGTGCAAAGAAACGGTTGGGTTCTGACGCAACCCCACGACAAAGGTTGAGGAGGTCAAATCCTGGGCAGGAAATCCTTGAACTCCAAAGAGGAACTCTGCCTGGTCCAGCCTGGAGCCTGGGAGCTGGCCAGCATCCCATCAGTCTTGGGTTCTCTCAGGAACAGGCAGGTCTTTTCCTTGAAGGAAACCCTTCCCTAGCTAGAGTGCCTGGTGGATTATCCTGCATTTCTCGGTCGTCCTTAATGGTTAATGATGAAAAGATAAGGGGAGCCTTGGGAAGAGTTGTCTTTAGGTCTCTGCATATGCCAAGGGATTTCAGTCCATAACACAATAGCTATATCTGGAAGGGTTCCCAAAGGCCTGTCACTCTATTTCCACCTCATGGCCTCTTTCTCTTTTTCAGCAAGGTCTTTGCAGGAGTTTGCCACTGTCCTCAGGAATCTTGAAGATGAACGGATACGGATGGTGAGTATGGCTGGGCTGCCCTTGGTCCTGGACAGTGCGGTCACATCAAGGGAACACAGGATTCGCTGTCAGAAGAACGGGATTTGAGTCCAGGCTCTGCCACTTGAGTGCTCTGGGCTCATGAGCAAGCCTCATCTTCTCATCCTTGCTGGGTTTGAAACCTTTTGTAAATATTTAAAGGATTACCCTGGATAACTTAGAACCACATTGTTGTCCTCCTAAAGATTCACTATAAGGTGTATATATAAAGTATATGACTTAAGGTGGATGTTTTGAATTATTTAACTTTTGGGAGCCTGAGATTCCTTACTGGCAGAATGGGAATGAAGGTGCCCCACCCTGCTCCCCTCCTTCACACCTCATTAAACCCATCCAAGAGCTCTCCTTCACTTTTTTTTTTTTTTTTTTTTTTTGCGGTACGCGGGCCTCTCACTGTTGTGGCCTCTCCCGTTGCGGAGCACAGGCTCCAGACACGCAGGCCCAGAGGCCATGGCTCACGGGCCCAGCCGCTCTGTGGCATGTGAGATCTTCCCGGACTGGGGCACGAACCCGTGTCCCCTGCATCGGCAGGTGGACTCTCAACCACTGCGCCACCAGGGAAGCCCCTCCTTCACTTTTAGTTCCAGGGTATCTAACGCAGTGCCTGCCATGTTGGTAGGCATCCGATCAAGGGGTACTTAGTAAATGATGGGAGCTATAAGAAGTTCTTCAAAGAGAGACAGTGTGCAAATTCAAGAATCAAACACTGATCTCCAGGTTCTTAAGAGAGATCTTCTGTACAAGGCTTTATTCTGATGTGGTTCAGCATTCACAGATGAGGGATTTTGGATCCACAGGAAGCTCTTTGGGGCCTCCCTCTTATTCCTAAGACATCAGGAATGAAGCTTCATGCTGATTTGTTGCCAGGTGGGCTTGTCTCTAGGCAGCAGTGCTCCAGAGGCCCAGGGAAGAGTCATCAATGAGGATTTTTCTTCTCTTCCCGTACGAACAGCCAGTGGTTTCAGGACTAAGTCTACTGTGTTAGTCTGCTCGGGTTGCCGTAACAAAATTCCATAGACTGGGTGGCTTAAACAACAAACATTTATTTTTCACAGTTGTGGAGACTGAGTAGTCCAAAATCAAGTTGCTGGCTGATTTGGTTCCTGGTGAGGGCCCTCTTCCTGGCTTGCAGACAGCCACCTCTTTGCTGTTTTCTCACAGGGCAGAGAAAGGGTTGGGGAAACTGTCCTGTCTCTTACAAGGTCACTAATCCCATCACGAGGATTCTCTCCTCATGACCTAATTATCTCCAAAGGCTCCATCTCCAAATATCAATACTATCACATAGGGGGTGTTAAAAGGTAAACTGAGGCATGTTTAATTTTTAAGTTTATTTAAACAAAAACTGATTCAGGGGGGCTTCCCCGGTGGCGCAGTGGTTGAGAGTCTGCCTGCCGATGCAGGGGATACGGGTTTGTGCCCCGGTCCGGGAAGACCCCACATGCCACGGAGCGGCTGGGCCCGTGAGCCATGGCCGCTGGGCCTGCGCGTCCGGAGCCTGCGCTCCGCAACGGGAGAGGCCACAGCAGTGAGAGGCCCATGTACCGAAAGAAAAAAAAAAAAGAAATTGATTCAAATTGGGGAGAACCAACCCGGAAGTGGTTAGGAGCACTCCATCAACAGGAGGTAGAGCAAAGACTTTTATATAGCAGATGTGGAAACAAAGCAAGGAAATTATTTGATTGGTTCTAGCTTAAGCAGTTGCCTTATTTGGGAAAGTCTAGTTGTTTGTGATTGGTTTCAGTTTCTTAGATTTCAGTTTCTTAACCTTGAGGTTTTGGTTTGCTTATGTAGGCTGCTAAGACATTAGAGTCACCTCAATCTAATGGCATCCTTGTTTAATTTAGCAGGGGTTAGGGCTTCAATATATGAACTTTGGAGGGGATGCAGTTCAGTTCACAGCCTCTACCAAGACATGTAGCCATGCATTTTCTACTTTAACCCTCATGATGACTCTGTGAAGTGGGACCTTTATCATCACCGTTGTCCAGATGAAGATACCAAGGTTTACAGCTGTTAAGTAACATGCCCAAGATCACACAGTTTAATAAGTAGCACAGCCCGGATTCAAACCCAAGTGCGTGTGATACCAAAGAAGCTGGCATTTCTTTAAAACTCCAATCAGAGCAGAAGCCTCTCACTTTCTGCTCTGCAGAGAGAGACACTATTTGCCTTGATTGCTCACTGCTGGGTGCTTGAACCAGAATCAGGAGGGCGGCGGCGGCAGCAGCAGCAGCAGCAGCAGCAGCAGCAGGGATGGTAGTGGGTGGAGGCAGAGGAAGGCTTGTGTTTGTGCACGTGCTAGTGCCTCAGAAAGGGAAGTGATTCTTTTGAGTCTGATTCTTGGCAGAGTTATTATTTGGGGGTGGAGGGTATGGTGAGCAAATCACGATGAATACCCTGCAGATTGCTAAGGTCTGGGGTAAGGGAACAATGACTGGATTATACTTTCCAGCTTGCCTCTGCAATTTTATTATTAATGTCAGTGAATCTAGTTTCTACTGTCTGCGTCTGAGTATCTGGCCATCGCAAGCCCCTTCCTTACCTCCTCACCCTGTGACAGCTTCATCATCAATTCAGCTTAGCCTAGCAAGGCTGTACCTTCTTTGGGAAGCCTTCCCTGACTCCCCAAATGGGATATTTGGCCATCTCTTGTGTTTTCTGAATGTCTAGTTCATGCCTCTGATTCTGCATGTAACACACTGTGTCCTGATAGTCACTGCATGTGTCTGTGAATTCTTTTTTCTTTTTTTTCTTTTTCTTTTTCTTTCGGTATGCGGGCCTCTCACTGTTGCGGCCTCTCACTGTTGCGGCCTCTCCCGTTGCAGAGCACAGGCTCTGGACGCGCAGGCTCAGCGGCCATGGCTCACGGGCCCAGCTGCTCCGCGGCATGTGGGGTCTTCCCGGACCGGGGCACGAACCCGTGTCCCCTGCATCGGCAGGCGGACTCTCAACCACTGTGCCACCAGGGAAGCCCGAAATATGAGTTCTTGAAGGGCAGAGAATGGACTGCTGTGCCTCGAATATCAGCACAGTGCTTGGAACTGAGTGGAAATTACGTAGTCATAGAATCTTAGACCCAGACAGACCTTATTCCTCACCGTGTGCAGTCCCTCATTTGACAGCTAAGAATAGTGAGACCTCCTGAAGGCTGATAGCGTGCTGTAGCAGGACTGGGACAAGGACTTGGGTGTCCTGATTCCCAGGTGGGAAGTTAGGGCTTTTGTATATTTAGCATCTAGTTAGGGCTGGGTTCTCCCCCATGGGTGTCCACTGGAACAACTTGGGGAGTTTAAAAAACACTGATGCCTGGATCGAAGTACAGAGATTCTGATTTATTGGTCTGGAGTGTGACCTGGACATCGGGACTTTTAAAAGCTCCCCAGGTGAGCCTAACCTTCGGCTAATGTTGAGAACCAATGGCTTAGTGGCTCAGAGCTCCATTGTGAGTTTCAGAGACTTACACTTGATTTGTGGAAAAGACTGAAATAAGTGAGCCAATAAAGCAACATCAAATGACAATAAAAATCAAGCAAGTTAAATTACATTGCAACACTCTAGAGTTAAAATGCTCTCTTTTAAAATAAGTGCTCTGAAAATTGAAGAAAAGGCAAGTGGCAATAAATTTGGAGACCTGCCACCTTCTACCCCTCACATTGTCTAGTTAGTTCTTTGCTGTCTCCATCTATGGCTTCTGGCATTTACCCTGTTGGTTTCATTGCAATGGATAGGCACGTAATTTAGAAAAATAATGCTTTGCTGCGACGAGATTCCTGAAATAATTAGTTGAGTGATGAGTGAGCAATGAATGACTTAAAAGGAAAGATTGTAAAATATTGTGCTGTCTTAGAAAAGACCATAGAATCTTAGAGCTGGAGCAATCCACCCCACTCATTTTGCAGATGAGGAAATTAGAGCCCAGAGAGGTTAAATGTTTTGCCTGTGGTCACACAGTTGGCAGCCAATCAAGAAATCATTCTTTCATTTAGTCATTGAAAAATGTTTGAGTGCTCCTTTTTTCAGCAGTCTTCTGTGTTTTGGGGATGGTGGTAGACAAGTGAACATTTACAAGAGAGTGGCGTATGTGTGTGCGCATGTGTGTGCGCATGCGTGTGCATGCGTATGCACGTCTTGTAATGCTGAACCAGAAAACTTCAGAAGATGGCTTACATCTTCTGAAGAAAACACTTGGTGGGGTAGTGGGAAGTTTCTTTGGATTGCAGTGGTGGTCAGAGAAGGCCTCTCTAAAGAGGTGACCTTTAAGCTGAAACCTGAATTACAATAAGTAATGAGTTGTGCACACAAGTATTTGGGGACAAAGCATCTGAGGGAACAACCAAATGCAAAGGCTCAGCAGTGGGGCAGGTTTGGTCCATTTGAGGTGCGTTCGGGTGACTGTTTAGTTGAGGGCAGAACCTGAGCCGGTGAGCGCGGTGAGATGAAGTTGAAAAGCAGCCAGTGGCCAGGAGGCACAGGCGTCCTGATCCCCGTCCAGAACTGGTAGGGCTACACAGAATCAGGGTTGGGTGGTTTTCATGCCACCAAAAGTGGAGGTTTTTTTGGGGGGAGGGTTAACCTAGACTCAGTGTTGACCTACTTTAAATATATCTACTTAAATATAACTTGGCTGAAAGAGCATTTACAAGAAGATGTCACCTGAAGCTTGAAATTTAGACCCTACTCTGCCACCAGTTCCGCTCTGCCGTCAGTGTGGTTGCTTACGTTTTTAGAGGTCCTCATTTTTATTTTTAAAGAATCTATCTTACTCATGCACAGGAAGAATGTCGTGTTTTGAACCGATGACTAGATTTTGATTTGGCATGCTGTTGGGTCAGGTGTAAGGAAGAGGTGACACCTGCACCATTGTGCTTACTGAGATCTTACACTGAAGCATGTGGAGGCCTTTTGTGCCAGCACTGCTGTGGTTCTTTACTGACCCTGCTTCTCTGTCCCCCTCCCCGACCCCTCTGCTTTTCCTCTCCAGATTGAGAATGCCAGCGAAGTGCTCATCACTCCGTTGGAGAAATTTCGCAAGGAGCAGATCGGGGCTGCCAAGGTGAGAATTTCGCAAGCCTTGTTCTTGGATTTTAGGGCAGGAGGTCTGGAAAACACAACACCTTCTTCAGAAGATCTAAGCCCACCATTTTCAGGGAATCCTGGGCGAATAAGCTTAGAGCCCAGCTCATCTGTTCTTCACAAGTGTCTGATGTAAGACTGAGGGGTCAACCCCAGAGCTGTCATTCTAGTGTTTTGACATCTAATCGTGTTGTGCTAGTTCATAAATCATCCAAAGGAAGAAACCACGCCTCCTTTGTGTGAGTAGATACCTGTGTGTTTGGACACCATGGAATTGTATTGTTTGTGGAGGTCCAGGACTGGAGCCTAGGACAGGGGTGGCAAATAGGCCCCCGTGGGCATGGGGACCCTCTCCTTAGCCCACTTTAGCTGTGTATGAAAAGAAGCCCTCTGTCGTTCGACCTTTACATTTTTTTCAAGGGAAACTGCAAAGTTAAAGAGTTTTATATGAAATTTCCTGGCTTTCAAAAAATGCTGGCAAATAATTTAAAAATATCTATTACACATTGTGCAGGTCAAAAAGCGGGACTGCTTAAACCCAGAGGTCACCATTTGTTGCAGCTGACCTGGAGGGACTATAGCTGAAAGTTGGCTGACTCTAACCTGTTACTGAAAGACTGAGAAGGGAATTTTATTCATTTTTTAAAAGATGGATTCTCTGGGGTCCCGTGCCCTGTGATAAATCACTAGACAACCCTAGCGAGATTGACCTTCAGTAGAGTGTTAGAGACCACCTGCGGGCAAGATGTTTTCATTGGAATCAATGAAAGCAAAAAGATTTTCAAGATTTTCTTCCTGTTTTTTTTTTTTTTTTTTTTTTTTTTTTGGGCTTTTTTTTTTTTTTTTTTCTGGAGCTGTGAGTCATTCGGCCGCAGTCCCTTGTGCCACCTGCAGGGGTTTTTGGGCAACATCACCCTCTTACTTGTGGAGAAGGTATGGATTTTACTCACTTGTGAAATGGCCTTGAGAGATGCCTGCCTGTAGGTGGGAAAAACATAGCTGAAGTGTAACGAAGTGTGCTCTCCCCTCAGCCCCCAACTAAGTGCGTGTGCTTTCTAAAAATGAGTATGATTAGGACGTGACAGAGATGTTCGGTGGTTCAGTCAGGGTTATTCAGAGGGAGGAATGGCCCTAGTTTGAAGGAGGGACCATGGCCAAGATTTTTCTTCCACTGTTACAGCACTTCCCTACCAACTTTACAGTTTTCATTTATGAAAATATTGGAGCTCATTGGTCTTCTATCCGAGCTTAAGGAATGTATAATTTAAAGGAAGTCTTATTCCACTAAGATTTTGTCCGAGACTCGGAAACAAGCCCAGGGATGGATGGGAAAATGCCGAGTGCCCCTCCCTGAGTTCTCAGACCCAAGGAGCACCATCTCTTTCGTGGCCTTGGGGCCTGTGCTTTCCCCTCCCGCAAACACACAGTGGCTCATTCACTGAGTTATCTTTCCAGAAGTCACTTCTCCAGTAGGCGTCTCCTGCCTCTCCAGCCTCTTCCCTGGGCGGCGTGGGGGTTACCATAGTTACCACGGAGGAAGAGCAGAAGGCTCAGTGGGTTCCTTTGGGGTTAGTATCAGTGATCCGAGTGACAGGAGCAGGTACTTTGCTAGGGGCTATAGATGGTGAGAAACCCAAGAATTAAAAAATTTATATGAAATAGTCACTCACCAAAACATGTTTCCCCTCACACACATTCTCTTCTCTCATTCCTGTTGAAGAATGAGGTGATGACGTTGGGGATGATTTCTCATCCCTCCCTCTTCATTATTTTATTTTATTTTTTCAGCCTACCTGCTCCTCTTCCCCACCCCCCATCCCCATACATGTATGTCACAGTATTACGTGTGTTTAAGAGAACACAGAGAAACGACCCCTCTACTAGGCCATCTAGGGAGCAGACTCAGGAATACCTCAAAGACCTTACTTCTGGGGCTTCCCTGGTGGCGCAGTGGTTGAGAGTCCGCCTGCCGATGCACGGGACGCGGGTTCGTGCCCCGGTCCGGGAAGATCCCACGTGCCGCGGAGCGGCTGGGCCCGTGAGCCATGGCCGCTGAGCCTGCGCGTCCGGAGCCTGTGCTCCGCAACGGGAGAGGCCACAGCAGTGAGAGGCCTGCGTACCGCAAAAAAAAAAAAAAAGACCTTACTTCTGAAGTCTGCCCGTGTGATGCTAAAATTACCCTTCCTCCTCCTCCCAGGTCTGGTGCACTTCGGTTGCTATAACAACCTGTTGCTACTTGCAGGAAGCAGAAGTTAGAGTTCTGGGGGTGAAGGCTGCACGTGAGGAGCATTCTTGTGCTAATGTCGCTGCTCTGGGGTAGGGCGGACCCTGGAGCTTGGCATGGCTGTGGCCCTGCTTTTAGATTTCTGAGTTTGGGGGAGTTTATTTTTCCTGCAGCCGAAGCTGGGCTCTCCAGTGAAAGTAGAATCGACGTCAGAGAGAGTGGCTAAGAGTGGGACTCCTTGAGTCCAAATCCCACTTGTGCTGCTTGCATGTAAACGTGGAGAGGCTACTGACCTTCTCCGCACGTTTCCTGAGCTGAGAAATGGGGACAGAGTTATTATGAGGAAGAAATGAGTGAACTCTTATAAAGTGCCGCTCAGAACACCGTCATAAAATCATTTGACGTTAACTATTCTATTCAGTACACACAGTTCATTCATAAAAAACAGGGGAGAGCCTGTTGTGTGCCCGGCACTGTGCTCCACACTGCTGTTTGGTGCAGGTAAATGCAGATGTGGTCACCATGCTCATGGTGTGCAGGGGGAAAGGCACTGGACAGAATGATATGAATAAGCGTGTGACTGCAAGTTGTGGTGGGTGCTGTGACGGGTCGCCTTCACGGACGTGGAACTTGGAAAGCAAGTGGTGTCCTAATAAGGAGGAGGTGGGGTTAGATGATGGACCACATCATTGCCGCCGCCACCATGACTGCCACCAGCATCATCAGCACTGAATTCTATTGAGCACTTTCCATGTGCCAGGCACTCTACCAAGCACTGGATATGGTTTATCTCACTTAGTCCTGACAGTCCTATGATGGGATGAGTGTTCTTATGCTGTTTTTGTTAGACAGTCTCAGAGCTGAAAGGGGAGACTTGAGCCATTATTTCGTCGAGTCATCCTCAGTTTATAGATGAGGGAACTGAGTCCCAGAGGGGCAGTGGTTTGTATGGAGTTGGGTATAATTTGTCCTGGATCCTAACTCTGTCCTGGATCCATTTCACCACCCACCGTGGACTCCCTGCAAGGGGAGCACCATCTCCGTACCTGAGTGAGTCTTAACCCCCCTCCTGTCTTTTAAGAACATGATCTCAATCCTAGAGGAGTTTTTCCCCCAAAGGTCGAGTTGCCAGAAAGTCACAGAATGCCAGTGACTCATGTTGCTGAGCCCCTTCTCACCTCTGGCCCGCTGGACTGTGCTGGCGCAGGGTTCTCTTTTGGGGGTTGTCGATGAGGCTGGTGGAGTGCCTGTGCGAGCATCAGTCAGAGTTGGAACCCCAGCTCAAAGTCGCTGACTTCTGTGAAGGAAAAGCATTGCTTGAGTCAAGTGTCTTGCCTGTACCTCTCCTCGTTTGAAGGAGTAATGTCTCCTCCGGCTTTGTCTTCACATGCTTCTGCATGTTTGTTTGTGTATGTAAAACTTTCAAGCAAAATTCAGATTTGTAGAAATGGATACATACGAGCTCAAATGGGTATATGATGATTCTGCCCACTCTCTGAGGCCTAGAGTCTTGCCGTTGACCAGATAAATGGTGTTCTGATGTCATGGGTGCTGTTCAGAGCTTCCGGTGTCGGCTTCTTGGTAATGCCTCCACGCTTAGGCCCAGTGTGTTCTGCCCAGAGCATCTGCACTTACCAGTCTGGAGGCCCCACTCTGCCCCTCACGAGGTGAGCAGGTCTTGGATCATACCTCCCCTCCACAGTGAGGCCTCTCTGGAGCACTTCTCTGCAAGAATCTCTGGGACTGCACCCTGTTTGTTTCCTTCATGGCACCTGTGGTGGTCTGGAATCAGGCTGTTTGTTTACTGGTTAATTGTGTTTCTCCTTCTGCTGGAACAGCCCCACCACGAGGGTGGGGCCGTTTCTGCCTTGTATTGTATTATATTCACAGTGCCTGAAGGATCCTAACACAGAGTGCTTGCTTGTTATATTGTCATTAAATAAAGAGATGTATCTGAGCTTCCTTATCTGGCCACAAATTTTTTTCTCCTCTTGTAAGCCTTGGAGCTGCAGAAAAATATCTGCTGTGGGCTCCACGTGAGTCAAAAGCCGGAATGATGCACCCAGTTAGTACATTTGATCCTGTTTACCAGGCCATGGTAGACCTTCTTTCAGTCCCCTTGTCCGCCATCCCCACTGAAATGTGGAGGGAAGAGAGACCGCCTATGACAGTGTTTCCAGGTGTGGCTGAGAATGTGGACTTGCAGGCAGCTTGTCCTGGGCTCGGACTCCAGCTCCGTCACTCTCTGTGACTTTTTACAGAAGTTAACTTCCCGCATCTAAGTTTTCTTATCTGTAAAATAAGGAATAGAAATAGAACTTCAGTGACTTTGGGGGATCAGGGATTATTCTGTATAATATGATATATATA